TGCTGGGATTACGGGTGTGAGCCACCGTGCCTGGCCAGGAGTCATTTCTTTTTCCTAAGTTGATGGCAGTTTTTGGCAGTTTTTGTTGAAGTTTGAGCTATCTAAATTAGTTCATAGGCCTGATATATCATTTTTCTACTTTTACCAAATAAGACAAAATACAGTTTATGATTTTAGGATAAAGTGATTATTTTAAGCTGATTCATTATATGTGAGTGGGAGAGGTGAACTCATATATAAAAACAAACACAATTTCCATTAAAAATAAAAGACATCAAATCATTACATAAAGAAGGAAAATTGCACAGTAACTTTTGAAGAGCCATAGATATACAAAGATACAGTCATTTGGTCTACTTTTTGGATAGATTGTTTTACAGCAAGAATTTTCAACTTAATATGTATTTCATCTATAACTGCTCCACTAAGCTGCCTTAATATTTTAGAAAGACGCTTTCAATCACACTGTATCAATTGTCCCCCAATATTTATTTTGTTTCATATTGCTGGTTTTATGTGACATCCTTGATTAATTTTCAGGCCTTGAGGTGCTATTTATTAAATTAGGAATAGAGCCCACTAAATTAATAAATTATTACTGTGGAGGCACTCTTGTCTTCTGCATGTGTAAGTACATTGCTTAAATTACTCTCGGAATAATTTACACATGAAGAGGCTCTGGTGGTTAAAAAAGCTCTGTGTATTTCTTATCTCTGGAAATAGTCCTGGACTAGGTGCTCAAATGGGTATCAAAGCAATTATCTTTTTTCAAAGTAGTAATGATTCTTACTATTCTAGTGTTCCCAACACACTATCCTAGAATCACGAATTAAATATAATGTTAAACATGTTAACATTTTGAACCAAAAATTTCCATAGGAAATGAGGAGACAGTTTTAACTGAGAATTGCTCAAGATCTTGAAAAGACAGCTTACTTTGATTGTGGGATTTTTTTTTCTCCCTAAAAGAGCTGTAAAAAGGTGAATATAGAGAATTCTTCAGATCAAGAAAAAGGAAATTAGGAATTGGCTGCTGTTGCAAGAAATATATCTGCCCCTCCCCGCTTTTAAGTATTAAAAGGGAATTAGGGACAATGACTCCTGGCTTCTAATCTCATGCCACTGTTTTTCCTGTCCTTGGACTGTTCATGTTAAGTTTCTATGCTCCTTGCTTTTATGTGACACACATCTTATCCTAAATTTAGGTGTTATGAAATTAAACAACAACAACAACAAATGTTTTTGGTGAAACTTCTCCCTTGGCTTATAAACTCTGTGATATCAGGAACTCTATTATTCTTATAGGCTTAGGGCCCAACTCTCTGCTTGACTCCTGAAATGATTTTGGTGAATAAACACATGGATGAAGTAAACAGAAAAATTTGCACCATTATGGAAGCAGCAGCTTTAATTATTTTGAGTCTAATTTTTGCAAAATGTCTGTTTGGTGTCTGTCACATTTTCTAGTTTTTTTTTTTCCATGATTTTTTCTTCCTCTCTTCTCCCCAAATCTATACATCAAAGGATGGGAAATAAATGGTAAATTTCTATTGATTTGATTGCATTTGTGCATCAGTAATCTATCACAACAAATAGATACGTTTATTTTAGGATGCTCCTTAACACCCTAATTGCACTTTAAAGGCCCTCTCTTTGTTTTGCCAGAAACATGGAAACTGGCTTTAGCTTCCAGACTAAACAAAACAATTGCAAATAAAAAGGCTGGAGCCAAAATGATGGTGGGAGGGCAATAGTGATGGTAGTGGTGGTAGTGATCTGTCACAGACACTGTTCTCTTTTATTCTTCATCACGATTTTCATTTGATAAAAATAATTACTTTTAATTACGTTTCTGATCTTCGAACTAACCCCATGGTGCTTCACACTGTGCTATATACCAAAGTATGAATTTTGGTACGATAAGTATTCTTTGGATAAGTAGATTGTTTTATCCCTCATCACTTCCATCTTAATTATTGTATTATTTCTGTATTTAGCACTCGTTTGTCTTAAAATTTATTAGTAATACATTTTCTATAATTACATTGTCAAATACGCAAAAGGTTATTTTCCACATTTTCTACCTCTGGTAAAAGTGTGAACATCTCCAGACACGCTGCACAGGAAATTAATCTATTTTGATAATAGCAAGTTATTAAAATAGGTTGTAATTAATACATTGAAAGACTTGCATAAATTCCTTTGTCCAAAGTTGAATGGAGAGTATTCAGGCTTGTGTTTTCTTTTCTTTCTTTTCTCCCCGTTCCTGGTCTTTTTGTTGTAAAGGGGTCACGTAAGGACGTTAGTGGAAGAGCTCCGTGCGCCATCTGCTGACGGAATCTAAATCCGTTCAGTGTTTGGAGACGGAATAACTGTACATTCGGTTGTTAGGGCATTCTTTGAGAAAGGAGGGGTACTGGGAAAAATATCATTTCAGACGCTATGGCTTATTAGTGATTGCTGGAATAAATCTGAATTCAGAAAACACATAATTCAAAAAAGAGAACTCTATCCATTGTGCGAGTACGAGTTTTGGAGACAATCCCAAGAGAGTCTGGTGGCCAGCTCGGAAGAAGTTAGACAAACCCTGAAATCAACTCAGAAGAGAATAGGATTGTTGTTTTTGCCTGTATCCTGAGCTACACTCGATGCCAATAGTTATCACTTAATAAGAAATGGCTTTACTAATGGCACATCCAGATAACCTTTATTTCCAAAATTATTATTACAAAGGACTGTTCTCCAATTTGATTATTTTATCAAAAGTTTATTAATGCACAGCAAATAGGTCACCCTTCACGTAGATACGACTCACACAGCTTGTCTCTGTGAATATAAATTCAGTCCTTGTACACACATACAGACACAGTTACCCATATGCCTACAGGATGATATGCGTTTATGTATATGTGTGTCAGTTGAGAAATCTAAGCCCTTGGATTTGTATTAAAATGTTTCTTTCATCAGTCGTTTGCTCCATTCTCTACTAAATCCTGTAGAAGGCTGGAAAGAACTGGGGACCTCAACCTAAAGGAGTTTCTTGATTAAAACTGAAGGGCTGTAATCCCAGCACTTTGGGAGGCCGAGGCGGGTGGATCACAAGGTCGAGAGTTCGAGACCATCCTGGTCAACATAGTGAAACCCCGTCTCTACTAAAAATACAAAACACTAGCTGGGCGTGGTGGCGCGTGCCTGTAATCCCAGCTACTCAGGAGGCTGAGGCAGGAGAATTGCCTGAACCCAGGAGGCGGAGGTTGCGGTGAGCCGAGATCGCGCCATTGCACTCCAGCCTGGGTAACGAGAGCGAAAACTCCGTCTCAAAAAAACAAAAACAAAAACAAAAAACAAAAAAACAAAACAAAACAAAACTGAAGGGCAGCGGAATCAGTTTTAGGGGATCAAAAGTCGAGTTGGAAGGTTGCTGGTTTGGAAACTAAGGTTAGTTCCAAGTGGTCCGACCTGATTCTCAGGATCTTTTTGAGAGCTGCTGGAGAATTGAAAATTAACAGCGAGGAACCGGGACGAACTAGATAACCTCCTCCCCGCTATTCTGCTCTCCTCAATTCAAAGGCCGAGACAATTTGCTTTTGTGGAAAAGGGAAGAAAAGGGAAAAGAGGAAAGCAAGAAAGTTGAGTCAGAAAAAGGAAGAGAGACAAAGAGAGAAGGCAAGAAGAAGAGAAGAAAAGTCAAGGTTCAGCAAGAAGTTGGGAGGCCAGGGAAAAAGGGGAGTAAAGATAAGACAGAGACGGCAAAAGAGGTCTAAGGGCTAGGAAGATGCAAGGATCTTTGTTTAACGAACCAAAGTCACACCCATCTTTCACTTTCAAATCAATCGTGTAGATCTTATCCGTTTCCTTTTTAAAGGTTGTCTGCGCTTCTAAAGGAAGCCAGTATAGGCGATACTCCTCTCCGCGCCCCACGCGTGGCCGCGCTGTTCTGTCTCCGGCCACTAAGACCAAATACAACGCGAGTGATAACATTTGCAGAAGCGCGACTCTGAGAACACTCCTGCGACTGGTTGTCACCCGGGAGTCTAACCGGATTAATACCCAGAGATGGATTACGCTGGCTGTCACCAATCCGCCTAAAGATTATAATCCAATTTATGCACATTACAGTCAGTATTAACTTTATCTGCTATTTTAAGACTCCCGGTTGCCCTGCGCGTCCTCAGAGGACAATCCTCCACGTTCTGATGCAATTCAGTAAGCTGTCAGGAAGGGAAGCCTCCCGAAGAAAACAACTCCAAGCCTGGTCCCCGAGGGAATGTACCCGGTACTCCCAGGTGTCTTGCCTTCACCTGGGCCCCGCTTTACGAAGCTTCCCTGCAGGGGATTAGCAACAAGGAAGGCGTTCCCTTCCGAGGAAATAGCATCCTTGTTTCTCCCTTGTTCATTTCATTTTCAAATTATGGCAGGAGGGCGGGGAGTGAGGGTGGTGGGCGGGTGCCTGTGAGTGGATGGGGCAGGGGGCCAGGAGATCGTAGCGGGTTAGAACAGCCTCAGCGATTGCTATTTTCATGCTTGTTTTTTGCAGGATGGCATTTCTCTCGCTCTCTTTAAATAAGTTTGTTTGGGTGTGAGTTCTTGTCTTTTCAGCACAAAACCACAGAAATACGTGGTGGAAAGTAAAAGCCCACTCCCTCCTCCCCGTGCGTGCTAACTAAAGACTTGATTTAACACCCCTTCGCCGGCTGCTGGGGGCTCCAAGCAGTGGCTACATTCCAGCAGTTTTAATCCGTTTTTTATTGTAGGGCGAGCGGAGTTTACACAGGGGCTGGGATGGCTCCCCAGCTGGCCGCTCTCCCCACTCCGGCGCCCCTCCCTGCCAGCCCCCCAGCAGGAACCTGTTACTTTAAGCGAGGCGTTCCAGTGTGGCGCTACGGGCCGCCGGGGTTTCGGGAGGTGGCAGGTGATTGGCTCTTTCGAGCTCCCCCTGGCTCGCTCGCTCGGCCTCCCCGCGCGCTCGGCCCCGCCCGCAAGCCCTCCCTCCGCCCCTTGAGGCTCGGAGCCCCGTGTCAGGCGCCACGGCGCATGCTCCGGAATCATCCTCTTTACCCTGGAGCTGCTGCTGCTGCTGCTGCTTTTGCTTTTGGGGCTGAGTTTAATAAGCCAGCGAGCGAGCAAGCGAGCGCGGGGGGAAAAAGGCAGAGAATGTCCGCCATCTACCCTCCGCTCCTGGGCGCGCTCTCATTCATAGCAGCCTCTTCATGAATTACAGCTGAGTGGGGGCGGAGGAGGGGGGTACCACACAACACCCCAGCAAACCTCCGGGCCCCCAGGCATGGCTAGCTCGGTAAGTACGCGCAAAAATAATAATAAAAGACCTCCCCCCCTTTCCTTCCTCGCCCTGCGCCGCCGCAGCCCAGACAGCGCCAGCGCTCCGCGGTTCCAATTAGAGAAAGGTTGGTACGGCTTGCAGGGAGCTGCCGCCTCTCCCTCAGCCTCCGCTCCCCTCCTCCCCCACCCCCCCCCGGCGCGCGCGCACACACAGACACACAGACACACACACACACACTCACACACGCTCACACTCGCCCCTCCACCCCCCCGCGCCTCCCTCCCTCCTCGCCTCTTTGCAATCACGAGAAGCGCACTCACACACTCCCGCTCGCTCACACGCGCGCACTCACACACACACATACACACACACACACACACACACACACACGGTGGAAGGAGGCGAATAATAACTCAGCCATATTTCAGCCGCCGCCGCCGGGAGCTGCGGGCACAGTCCGGGGACCCGGCGAGCAGCCTCGGCGGCCGCACCTCCGCAAAGCGCCGCCGCCGCTACGATGGTGCGTTCTTCGCGGCGCGCGCGTGTGTGAGCCGGAGTGTGCGGGGCTGACAGCAGCGGGGCCGCACGCAACTTTGCCCCAGCGCCGGGCGGTGCTGCGCGCGAGCCGAGGCTCGACGGCTGTCCGCCCGCCGCCTTGCCTTTCTGAATTTCATTTTTGGGGGGGAGGTGGGAGGTACTTTGGAGCCACTTTGGCTCTTGAAAGTGTGTTGCGGGGGCTCGGTTCGACTGGCCTCGTCAATCGCCTGGGGCTTTTCGCTGGGGGGTGCGGGGTGCTTTAAGTTATGGATGCCTCGGCGTGTTTTCCTGCGGGCGTGTGTGTGTGTGTTTGTGTGTGTGTGACGACGTCTTATTTTTGTTGTGCACGAACCCCGTGGCAAGAGCACGGGAGTTTGTGCCCATCAGCAGAGGCTGCCTGTAGTTTCCATTCCGCCTGGCACAGCGCTCCACACGCACGCACACACACACGTACACAAAGACTTCCTCGGCGTGTGCCTGTCGCCGCGGTACTTTCGGGGAGGGGGTTCGCCAGGAACCCGTAGGCTCCCCTGGGTCCCAGCCACCTCCCCTCCCACGCAGGGAAACCGCCCCGGCATCCCTTTCTGATTTGTTTCCGATGCATTTGTTGTCGTGCTTGTGGTGGCCGAGTGTGCTCTCCCTCTTCCCCCGACCCCCTTCCCGACTGGGGATAACATTCCGTTACAATCCTGTCCGGTGTGGATGCGGAGCCCCGGGCGCCTGGGGTCGAGCCTGGCCGGCCTGGCGGGTATATTTGGGGGTGTGGGGTGTGCGCGCCCACGCGCGTGAAACCTGGATGCAGAGGGCACCGCCGTTTCCTTTTATGTGCGTTTCAAGAAGGAGGAAAAAAAATGTCAGGCGCAACGTTCACTGCCGAAACGTCGCCTTCCTGTTGTTCACGACTGTCTCTCCTCCCCCTGCCCGCAGTGTGCCGTGCAGGTGAAGCTGGAGCTAGGGCACCGCGCCCAGGTGAGGAAAAAACCCACCGTGGAGGGCTTCACCCACGACTGGATGGTGTTCGTGCGCGGCCCGGAGCACAGTAACATACAGCACTTTGTGGAGAAAGTCGTCTTCCACTTGCACGAAAGCTTTCCTAGGCCAAAAAGAGGTAGGGCTCGAATACAAAAGGAGCTTGATAAAAATGTCTTTGCCTGGCGAGAAAACAATCGCTTGGCCCGGGCGGTCCCGCTGCCCTGCTCCCCGCCCCCCGCGCCGCGCTCGCCGGCGTAGCCTCGGAATCCGGGTGCGCGGCGCCGCGCGGGCCAGGTCCTGGCTCCCGCCCGCGCGCGCGCGACTTCGGCTTGGTGAAAGTCACGGCAGAGAAAGGACCGTCAGGTGTCGAGTGTTTATTCATCCCAAGCCAGCCCTCAGCACTCCTCTGGGGTTAGCCGCAGGTTCTGTGGGGAAGGTGCAATTAGTTGTTGGGTTTGGAGATGTGGGGAGTGGGGCTGGAGGGAATAAACACTTTGCGCGTTTTTTTTTTAATTTTCCTAGAGAAATTGAGATTTACCTGTGTTATTAGCAAAGAATGTATTGGGTGTAGTTATTGTTCGATCTGGGCAAGTCGATTCTCTTTAGGGTCTTCTCTTTCTTCTCTGTGTATGAGGCACCAGGTGCCAGTTGCCACAGACTTTTCTTTTTGTGGCTTGGCCACCGCCACACCCCACTCCAGTCTGGATTTTATGTTTACTTGGGGGGCTTACTTGTTCCTCCCTCCCACCCCTGCGTGGCACTTGACTGCTCCTTTGATTCTGAGCAACGCTCCAAAGTGTCTGCCTGATGTGATCTGCAGGGAGACGGTTCTTGCAAAGGTCGAAGCTAAGTTTCAGAGGAACGATGTGATGTTGCCTTTTGCTTCAGTCCCTCCCCACCTTGGTTCTTAGCCTTGGAGTCTAGTTTGCATAATCCTGCTGGGCCTCTGCACTCCCAAACATTTTCCATAATGGGCAGGACAGTTTTGGAAAAATGAAACGGAGTGTCATTTTGAAAGGAATTTAAAGAGGGTTTGAGAAATCTCGATTTCTTTTCCTTTCCTCCTCTGGAAAGCTAATGTCTGGTTGTTTTAGTTGGATTAGTGGAGGTAACAGTACAAATACAATAAGGTGCTTTGTTTGTGAGCGGGTTTATTTATCTAAGTGGACACAATGGTTAGTAGTTATCTTCCATTTGATCCGTAATCTTTATTGGCATCTAGAACTCCTGCCGTTTCTTAGAGTAACATCATAATAAATCCATTCCGCTTAGAGCTATGTGGAAATTACTGAACATTCAGGGGGCTGAATAAAGAAAGGAGAAATGCCTTGCGCCTTAGAGGTGGCAGAGGTTTGTGTTGGTGGTAATTTTTGTTTCCAGAGCTCATGTAATGGGAAGCAGGATTGTGGTTTGGTTTATAACTCCTCCTGAAAACTTGAACACTTGAATTTGATGGGCTTTGTTAGATGGTTAATAAATAAATCCAGTATTAGAATAGAGGACTAGAAATATGCATGGCCTATAGGGAATAATATTTGAAATTTGTTAGCATTTTGTGTTAAAATATAGTCAGAGATTATTATGTCTCATATTTCCTCCAAACTGTGGTAAGGATGATGAGGCTGGTGTAATGCTTCTTGGAATCTCTCTCCCTTTCCATGTGTTTGTAGAGCAGAGGAGTTTAAACAAAAGAAACCACCTTGTAAGGTCCTTGATACGCATTATTACTACTACTTGGCTGTAGTTCACTTCAAGGTGAAATAAGCTTTCAAAAAACAACATTTATTAGGAAAATTAACTGAGTTAATTGGCAGAAGATGAAGCTCTTAAGGTAACTTTGTTTAGGCACCTTGACAATCAACTTAGCATTATGAAATTAAAGATGATCAACTTCTATTTTACCATTTTTTCTCTGCTTCGGTGGATGTGTGCATTGATGATACTTTTATTTCCTATACTTAATGATTTTCTGTCTAGCCTGAGGGAATATGAGGGTGCTGCTCGCATAGGCCACACCTGGGAGGTGTTGCTAGGTGTGGTAAGCTGCTCGATAACAGTGATGCCTTGTCAGAGGTCTCTAGTTAGAGATGTCTGCTTGTTGGTTGGACTCCTCAATTTTTATACTCAACTGTGGAGTTTCTCTATACAGTCTATAAGCCATTGTTTTAAAATGTTTATTTTTGGATTTTTATTTGTGTGCGTGCTTCCCATGATGTGACAAGTCCTGGGAAAAGTGCCAGCTTACGTAGCCCAGGAGAGACTTTGCATACTGTAATTACACATGATTCAGATTGCCAGAGAAGGTTTCTCTGTTCATTGGGAATAGTTGTGAGTTCAGGCAACACCAAACATGCCACTTAATCCTGGGACTTATTTTTTGGCTTATAAAGTCTTTCAATTGATAAGAATAAATACAGAGTAAGAATGCCAAGAATTTCTGTGTTGACTTCCAGTACCTTTTAAGGTGCTATGTTAGCTATATTGTAGATCTATAAGTGATAGAGTACAATTCTACCGTTTGGAAATTGGAGAAACTGCAAATATGAATTTGTGGAAAATCTGAGTTATAAGATCTTTAAAAGAAATGCTCATATTCTGTAGTAAATAAGCTGTGTTGGCTATAAATAATGACAATCTAAATCACTTTCACTGTATACAGTAGCACTAAACAGAGTTGAACCTTAGGACTGAGGATGAACTGCTCAGCCACAAAGATGAATGAGTACTTAGTTTTGTAAATCTTTGGTTTGGAAAAGTGAATTGATTTTCAGGTTGATTTCCTTTACTTTACAATATTATTGGAACTTGAAGGAGAAGAAATTATAGTATTTTTAACTTGTTGCCTAATGAGAATTATGTATACCATTTCGGAATTGAGCTAATTGGATTTGAAATAATGAGGTTTTGCTCTGTCATAAAGAAGTGTGGGAGACCTTCAATTTGAAACTACTGCCACAAAATCTTAGAAAAGAGATTCTGATGAAATGGTGAAGCATGGAGTTAGCCATGACAGAACAGGTAGGTCAGAGTATGATGCGTTTTAAAACTATCTACCTGCAAATAAAGACAATGTCTTATTTATTAGCACCAAAGATTTGTACTAGTCTGATGTGACTGAAATGAATAGTCGCATTCAAAACATTTCGTTTAAAACATTAATGTTTTTGTTTTCAGTATGTTGTGAATTTGAGTGAACTTCCTTTCCAATTACAGCCATCTTTACTATTGCAATTTGTTTCACTGACATTTATGATACGAAATCTGTTGCTTATTATTTTATGTAAGCTAATTTGGCCACTGGTATGATTTGATGGCTTTTTATTTGTAGCCTTAGTCCTTTGAGTGGGCAGATAAAGCTTAATAAATTCACTCCAGTGATTTTCTTTTAAGTGTTTGAGCCCAGCTTTACTGCATAGTTTTGATTTGTGTTAAATGGTCTTCTGAAATAATTTGGATAAGTCTTTATGAGGGTGGCTAATATTTGAGGGTTTACTAGCTGAAGATCTTGTGTGCATCTGGTGTATTTTCTCTTCTGAGTCATTTGAAAGGTATAAGGAGGCCACACCTGTGATCCCGGCACTTTGGGAGGCCCAGGCAGGCGAATCACCCGAGGTCCAGAGTTTGAGACTAGCCTGGCAACATGGTGAAATCCCATCTCTACTAAAAATACAAAAATTAGCAGGGCATGGTGGCAGGAGCCTGTAATCTCAGCTCCTGTGGAGGCTGAGGCAGGAGAATGGCTTGAACCTGGGAGGCGGAGGTTGCAGTGAGCCGAGATTGTGCGATTGCTCTCCAGCCTGGGGGACGAGAGCGAGACTTCTCAGAAAATAAATAAATAAATAAATAAATAAATAAGTAAAAGATAGAAGGAAAAAAATAAAGATGGGTGACTGTTCTGATACATTCAGTGAGTATTATTTGTGTAGGGTTCTGTATTAAATTTAGATGACCAGTGAGAACAGTTTTACTACTTTGCATTTTGAAGCACATAAAGTGTAATTTTCCAAGGTACTTAAAAGTTGAATTGTTGGAGGAAATCTCGTATTCTGTGGGTGAGAATGTAATTCGGGCAGGGGTATTTTGGAGAACATTGGCAAGACCTGTTAAGATTTTTAATGTTTATACTGTTTAGCTTAGCAAATTTACTTCTAGAAATTTTCTGACAAATATGTTCTCACAAATACGCAAAGATACAGCATGTTGTCTTGTGACTGTTTTTGTAATAGCCAAAATTTGGAAGCAAGCCATATAGGGGCCCTCAACTGGATAGAATTAAATGATGATAATCCATAAAAAGAGGTACATCTATTTGTTGATTCAGGAAGATCTTCAAAAAGAATTAGGTGAAATAAGACAAGTGGCTAAAACATTGTGATCTCATTTTTTATGAGTGCTTGTGCAGATAAGAAGTACATGTATGTGTATGCATGAGTATGTGTATAAATAAATTTGGATTAGCAGGCATCAAACTCTTACCAGTGGTTTTCTTAAGTGGCTACTTACGGTGGTGGTGATGGGAGGTTATTTTTGTTGTGTTTGATTTTTTAAAAAAAAGTTCACTGTATATTTAAAGCATTAAAATGAGCACACAATTACTTTTTTAAAACCGAAAGACAAGGAATAAAGAACCAATATAGAATACTGCTTTTAAAATAGGGATTAACATGTAGCTATCTAAAAGGTAAACATCTAAAAGTGATCTTTACTATCTTGGGTAGCTATTGTTGCTTAGAGATGAAGAGAAGTTAGGGTTAGGGATTACAGATTTGTATTCAAATGTTGGTTTAAGAGACTTGTGTGGTTTTAGACAAGTTACTTCTGTATCTATCTTTTGCATTATGGAAATGATGATAAAACAGAACTATTACCTCATAAGTTGAGTTTGAAATATAAATCAACTGTTTTCAAACTTACTGGGCTTAAGACCCTTTTATACTTATTGAGGACCCCAAAGAGTTTTTTTGTGTGGAAGTTATATTTATTAATTTTACTGTATTAGAAATGAAAATGGAGTTATTTTAAAGAAATTAATTTGTTTAAAGGTAACAACTTATTACATGTTAACATGAAGGTAGCATTTTAATGAAAAATAAACATTTTCTTAAAAAATTGTGACAAGAGGAACCTTGTTTACTT